GTTCCGCATTCAGGTCAAGTCAACTTCCTTATCTAGGTGAAATTATTCAATTTTCATTTTTTAATAGAAATTAGTCAATTTTCTTCTCTTTTTTTTAAAAATGGAAATTAGCCATTTTTCCTAGGTACAAGGTAAGAGAATTAGATGCTGCAATGCACTGGAACGTGATCACTAACAGCATATATGGATTAAGAAAAATGGAGGGGGAGAAGAAAAAAAATTATTTATTTAATTATGGAAAAAAATTAGAGGGGACAAAAGGGGAATTTTTTGTTTTTGGTTAAATTTAACTAGTTATCTGAATGAGGAGAAGGGAGATGAGGGGAATGATAAGTGCATTGTTAGTCTCCTCAACTTACAAAAAAAGTGATTTTTAAGCCCTTAAATTATGAAAGTGATAAAAAAAAGCCCCACATGTAATTAGGACCAACAATAATCTAACAACAATTGTCACTCTGTTTGTGAGCACGTAAAACTATGGGTTAAATTTAAGAAATTAACATTTATTACTCAAGCCAGCAAAAAAAAATAAATAAATAAACTTCACAAAATTGCAACATTTTTGTAATTAAACATGTTGCATGGTTTGAATCATATTTGATTGCACAACTAAAATTCTTGGATAGGGGTAGGCTCCCTCCTATTAGGAGCTATTCTTCTTATTCAATGGTTCCTAGTTTACAGCTTTGGTACACTTTAAACCACAAAAGATATGGCACTCTTTTAATAAACACCATATAATTATTATCTCAAAACTATGTAATTTTAGGTTTTGATCAGGAATATTGTGGTAGTATGGTTTTCTTCGTCTTTAACTATTTAAGAAATATTTTAACAATTCTATATATTTTTAGTAATTTTAATTATACTTTATATATTTTTTGAGATTTAAATTATTAAAAAAATACAACCACAGCATAACATTTCTAAACAAAATCTTAATCTGTTTACCTAAAAGATAAAAAAATGTTTATTAAAACTGCATAATTTTAGATATTTATTTACCTATTTTTATGAGCCTAGCTAATTAAACATTTTTTCATAAATTTAATATGGTTTATGATAAATTTTAAATATAGACATGAAATTGAAGGTGTCAAAGATGAAAAACAAGAGGTTTGGTTCAACAAATTAACATAAGTGGTGACTTACGTCCACATACAAAAACCTTAAGGACTATAGATTGTACTCCTTAACTTGTAGAATGATTAAATATGACTTCACTTTTACAGTAAGTGTAGAATATAAAATATGAAAAATAATAATGGGGAGAGAATAAGATACTTAGCAATTCTAATAACATAAATTGATATTTAATTCAAATTTTAATTTTGTCTTAATTTTGTCAAATCTTTCGTTGATTGTCTCGAGAGAATCTCCAACAAATACAAGTTATACTTTTCAATAGTTGATACATTTCTCAAAACTTTTTTTCTAGTAAAAATAAATTTTTTCATCAATAATAAAAAATTGCAATGGGTTACAAGTTAACCCATATCGTGTAATGTACCAAAGGTGCTACAAAGTCTAACCCTAAAATTGTAAAACACTTGATTAAGTATATGATAATAAAGCAGTCTCATGATTAGATAGATATTATAGTCCAACTTGATTCTTTGTCTAATGGTGAAATTGCAAGTTAGTATAATCTACCAAAATCAAAAGATAAAAGGGAATTGTTGATAGGGTTTGCTAAATGCATTTCAAAGCAACGCAACGAATACCAACTCTTTCTCATACTCTAAACCTTCAATTAAAAAGATATAAAATAATGATAAAATTCATGTAGACTATGCCCAAAGGATAAAAAAAACTTTAAAAAATAAAATAAAATCATGATAAAAAAAAAAGAGGAAAGAGAAACAAAGAATTAAAAAAAAAAAAAAAAAAAAGGAAGAAAGGATGGGAAGAAGAGGAAGGGAGCAACTATCATCCCCTCTTTGTTTTAGAGAGAGCGGCTAGCTTTTAATTTCTCAAAACTTTTAAATCATGGTACTTAAATTTTTAAAATTTTAAATCCAAGTTTGATCCAAGTCCAAACTCCCTTGTTTTAGAAATCCCTCATATTATTCATGAAATTTTGATCGCCCCCATTTTCCAAATTCCCAACCCCATTAAACCTATTATTAGTCCCATTAAATTCACTAGACTTTAGCATGACATATTAATTTTTATCACACCCATTTGGCAACCTCCAGGGTTGTAACTATTGATAAATAAGTGTTATTTTATAAGATAGATTTAAGATTTAAGTTTTGAGATCAATATTTAAATATTAAAAAAATTAATTTTCTTAAATGTACTTAAACGGTATGAGAATACATCTTTAAAATCAGTAAGAGAAAAATTAGTAGGTGCTTGAAAACTGATCTTGGCACTTGAGGGTTGAATAGTGTTTATTTTGAAATAGAGTTGAAAGATAATTATTAACACACATCGCCTGTGAACAATATCATATCTCTATATATATGCATTTATGTATGTGCAGTGGCAGAGTGAAACCGACGAAAGGTAGTGGCCTTCTCTTTTTCTATAAAAAGATTAAGGGTATATAGCCTTTAACATTATCCTCATTACAATCTTAGGTTGAGTCTCCTTACTTTTTAATCTTTTGGAACCGAGGGTAGACCCCATGCCCAGCCACTGTATGTGCGTGTATATTGCTTGGAATATTTGATTACTTGGATAGAGACAATGGAAGATAACACTTGTCTAAGGAATGTAAGTTATGATTTAAGTAGGTATCGAGTAAGGCCAAAAAACTAAGAATTAGGTATCGAGAGAGCCAATGAAGTGTTCGAGGCTCAAAGAAAGCAAAATCCACTAACGACGACCTCGTCATTTGACGTTTATTATAACTTTTGCAAACAAAAATTCAACAGGCTGTGAATGTGGAAATTGGAAATTGCATTTGAGGTTGAAAGAAAGTAAAAGCCACTTACAACGACCTTATCTGATGTCATTCGACGTTTTCAATTTTTCCAAGCAAGAATTTAAGAGGCTGTGGATGTGGAAATTGGAAAGATAAGCAGAATCCAAAACACTCCCCTCTTCTCCACTTATGGCACATTTTACTAAAATACTAACTCAGACGGATTCCAGTAAAAGACTGGCGATCCCAACTAAGTTCATGAGGCAGCATCTGCCGGAATTTGAAGGGGGCACACTAAACTTGGTGGTCGAGGATGTGCGCGGACATGGGTGGTCCTTTGGCTATAGCATTCGTAGAGAAGGCCATCCAAAACCCGTTTTCCAGGCGGGTTGGCTTGATTTTGTCCGCAACAAATGTCTCATTCCGGGGGACAGAGTCACATTTTGGCTAGACCAAAATGCTGCCAATGGTCCACGATACAAGATTGCAGCAGAAAGAAAAATCAAACTGCTTGGTCGAGAAATCTACGCCGCAGTCTGAATTATATATGCAAATTAGGCACGTGAATGCCTACTAAGAACATGGTTTGCTTTAATTATTGTTGGGTAATCTTTGCTTAATTCAGGTGTGAACTCTCTTCTTCTTCCTTTCTCTAGAATATGGTGTAATCCTTTAAAAATCTATTTGATTTGAAGAAAATAAAAGAAAGGGAAGAGTGGAGATTTTTCATTCAATTAAATTATGATATTTAGATTCATCATCTTAAGTTAATTAAATGAAACAATTTCTTCTCCCATCTTTTTTACTTCCTTTAAACCAAACAAGCACTTAATTCTTCCAGCTACTGGTTTTCATCTACTATTCTATAATTTCTGAATTTGTAGCATACATCAATTGGGATATGCATAGATGATATCTCTTCTCTTGTTGGGGAATTAATTGTTCTTTCTACTTCTAACTATTACACACTATGCCAATATACACAACAGAAAAACATTCCTCTAACTTGGTAATTAAGAACGATGTGTTTAATCCATCCTTGTAGGTTTGCCTAGTGTACTAAATTACATATGTTGGTCAACGATGATCTCGTGGACCATGTTAAATGGCTGAAAGCTTGTTTTTGGCCAGATCTACAAAAGGTCGTTTGGCTTCTTTCCCCTGATCAAGCTATTAGGATGGCTAGAAGGTGCTTGCGATAGGCCACTTACTTCACATTTTGGATTATTTCATATGTTTTAGTTTATCAGGGGGAGACTAAACTAATAGTTCTGTAATATGTAGTTCTATGTATGTATTTATGGGTTGGAATACCTTTTGTACTCTTTATTAATAATTTTTTTACTTTGGCTGATCAAAAAGAAAAAAAAATGGTTGGTGCACGAGGTCTAATGTTATGTGGCTACGTGCTGGTTGTTACATGTATAACCCCGGCTCTGGTGAGCAACCACTTCATAAAAATTAACTAAGTTTACATTATTCAATTTGAACCCTCATGAAGAATCTTTTATAACATTCAAATTCTAAGAGACAGGAAGAGGATGACTAGAGAAAATTATAACCACTATACGATAAAAAAAATAACTCTATTTTTACTTATTTTTTCATACCTATCTCAAAATTTAAAGTTTTTACCATCACAAATTTTACAAATTGAGATACCTTCATGACAAAAAGAAAGGATTATGAGGTGTTTGCTTTGATGTTTTATAAACAGTTATCAATTATAATGTACCAAAAAAAACAGTTATCAATTATTAATTCTAACTAAACTTAAATACTGTAATAGACTAGTTGAATTAATTTTTTTTAAATGGTTAATAATTAATAATTGATATCTTATGATTGATAATTATTAATATTTATAATTCAAAATATTAAACTTATTTGATTAAAACTAACAATTAATAGTTATTCTAAAAAGATAAAACAAACATCTCTTAAATTATAAATAATTATCAATTATAAAATATTAATTATTAACTATCAATTATATTTAAACAACTAATCCAAACACCCTTTATACTTTTAACAGAGTCATTACAAGACATCCGAAGAAAAAGTACGGTTTATTACCTTATTAAAGCAACCCCATCCACACACGAAATGTCAAGCGAATGCATGGTGCAGGGCACGCACCACTAGTTGGATTTATTCCCCAATCGTCGGTCAGATGCCATGTACTTGTAGTGTGTACCTCCCCTGTTTTTGAGCCAGAGCGGTATATTTGACACATTTCAAAAAGAGTTCATATGCTATAATTTAGACTATATATTACTATAAAATAAAAAATTATTAAATAGAAAATGACTTTCAATATAAGAGAGTTTACTTCATACAATAATTATAATTATATAATTTAGTACAAGTTTAAATTATATAATGTTTTTTTCTTTCAAAAAACAGACTCCACATTAATATATGTTTTTTTGATGAAAGATGAATCTTCTTCATTAGTAGACATTATGAGATACAAGTGTGATAATAGAAAAAGACTAAAAATTTTAAAATTGTTACCAATTCTCACTGTCTATCACAATTTGTATAGTTAATCTAGTACCTAATAAAGTAATTTAGGGGAGTCCCAAAAGCACAATACTACCATTACCATATATATACACTACAATAGGGCTCAATTAGCACAGTAGTATTTTCAAAACTTTCTTATAATTTCTTTTAGAAGTAAAATTCAAGTTTTGCTTTTAATAAATTTTTAAATTTAAGAGAGAACAATTTAATTTAAAGTTAATTTATAAGCTCTGACAAAACATGCCCTTTAATTATGTACTTCAAGGATGATGGCTAATGCAATCTAAGTGTATGGTATATAATAGCTTATGTGCAACTCTATCCTCCAATAATAGTCAATTTTTTAAGGCATTATTAAGTATAATTGTAATTTTTAATTTTAATTTTAATTTTTTTTAAATTAAAAATTTTACAAATTAATTAAGTTTAAAGTTTTAGATATAATTTTTTTAAAAATTATTAATTTTAATTTTAATTTTTTAATTATTAATTTTAATTATTTAAATTTTGAAACAAAAACCAAAAAAATAACCACAACAATATAAACAAAGCCTAACACTTTTTTAGATTAAGAATTTTAAAACAACTTTAATTTTACCTATATTGCCTTTAAAAATGAATTATTAAAGTGATTGAATAATAATAATAATAATAAAATTAGAGTAAGAAAAAAAACTTCTATCTCTCTTAAAATATAAAAAATTATAACAGTTAATCTAACATAAATTTTAAATAAAAAACCTTTTTATTAAATTTAATTATCTCAATTTAACTTTTTAACTTTTCACATAATTTTCTTAATTAATTAATTTTTTTTCTTTTTATACATACTTTTTATTAAATATATTAATTTATTTATAAAATTATCTAATTAAATTTTATATAAAAGCTATAATAAAAAAACTAAATCCATCCCAGCAGCACTAGTATTATCATTTTTTTTCTTTTTATACATAATTTTTATTAAATATATTAATTTATTTATAAAATTATCTAATTAAATTTTATATAAAAGCTATAATAAAAAAACTAAATCCATCCCAGCAGCACTAATATTATTGTAAGGGTGATGTCATAGTGATAATTTTTTTATATTACATGTTCATATAACTTTTATATATTATTAAATTGATGAATGAATTTAATATCATGAGTTTTATATAAATTAAAAAATAAATTATTTTAATAATACATTAAATTATATAAAAAAATAAGATTAAAAAATTATACAAAAATTATTTTCCTATTGTAGGACACAGGAGTACCTGGAAAAAGCAAGAGAGTTGACGCTGATGTGTGTCGTCTTGTCCAAGTGTCCAACTAAAGATATTCTTGCGGGTGCTCGGACGGACGGAACGTCTTGCCCAAATTCAAGTTCGTACGTGATTTACAAGGCTAGGCCCAAGGGCCTTAAGTTCTTATTTGGGCCATTGGACTTGGAGATTATTAAAATCAAATTATAATAAGGGTCGGACTGTCTAGCTAGTGGGCCACCGACCCCCCCCCCCCCC